CGCCAGCAAGAGCGGCAACTACCTGGACAGTGGTAATGTGTCCATGACTCAGTTGGGCGCCATGTCCATGAGCAGTGCCTCCGGGCCGCGCATGGCCTCAATGGCCTACCCGGCGGGCTCCTATTATCGCGGTGCTAGCGGCGGCAGCAGCAACTCGCTGGGCCTGAAGACGCTCTCAAGTGAAAGCCTTAACTCGCAGTCGGACGACGGATATCCGGCGCAGCCATCAGGTGTGCCTGGCGCCCCCGGTGCCAAGGAGCTGGAAGCGGCTCTCAAGCGTCTTACGCCCGCCGAGGTGTTGGCTCGTCGTGCTATGCTTTCGTATGCGCCAGCCGGCACTTATAATTACGATGAGCCCATGCACGGACGAAGCGGCATTGCGGCGGGCGGACAAGCCTCTGGCCTAGCATTGCCCATGGGTGTGCGCACGCCGGACAGCATCATGTCCACGGGTTCGGGTTCGTCTGGCCTAACGACGCACCAGTGGCGTCTTCCAGAGAAACTGCAGATTGTCAAACCCATGGAAGGCTCGCAGACGTTGCATCATTGGTCGCGTCTGGCCACGCCCACGCTTAGTGGCCTGCTGGAAGAGCGACCGGGCGTGACCATACGCGGCGGGCGTGGCCTCGACGATCTGGGCATGCAGGTGTACACGCTGTCCGACGTGGAGGAGGACGTCAGCGATGAGCTGGGCCTGGGCAAGCAGTTTGAGGCGCCTGGCTGCACCTACACCTACACGAACAGCATGGTCATGCATCCGGATGATGGTTTCGTCAACGACTTGTCCTTCCTCTCCCAGTCGCAGATGTCCTCGCGCATGGCCTCCACATCGACATCCAGACAGCCAAGGTATTACCCTCGATAATTGTATTTTTGCATTTGATTAATTGCATTTTTCTTCGACTTTAAATAGTTGTCCGGCTACGCCTCGCGCCGGGATGTCGCGCAAGAACTCCTGCTCCACGTTTTCGGTCAACTTGGGCCTGGCTGGCATGCTGAATGAACGCGGCATCAAGGCAGTCACGCCCAGCGCACTTAATACGCCCGCCGGGCCGAACTTTTCGCCGACCGTGACACCCTGCAACAGTCCGGAGGGTTCGCCGCCACGTGCCCAGTCGCCGGAGCCGTTGTTCGGACTCTTGTCCTCGGGCGCCGATCTAATAAAACGCAAATTGGTGGGACCCAGTGATCTGCAGCTGCAACGCAGTCTGAGCAAGCAGCAGCACCAGCAGAAGGTGATGCTGTCGCACCTGGAGCGTCGGGCTCTGCGCTCGCTCAATCTGATCGAGAAAGTGGAGAGTATCGGCCTGGAGAACATTATCAGCGCACAACGCGGTCTCGGCACGGGCATCGCCAATCGCAGCAGCTCCCCGCTATCGCAACTGAGCAGCAGCAGCAGCGCCAGCGGCGACAGCCTCCAGAGCTTGCACACCAGCAGCAACAGCATCGTGGACGACATTCACTTTGATCGCGCACAAATTAAGGGCGTGCTGCATCGCGGCCTGAAATCGCCGACGCCGGCAGCAACATCGACGGCCACAAGCATGGCTGCCAGCAGTGTCGCCAGCAGCGCCTACAACAGCGAGGATAGCGATGACCAGGGTATTGTGCTGCAGCGGAAGCCTAAAACAAGCTCGGCGCCAACTGCAAAAATGACAAATCCTGCTGCTGCGGCGTTGGCGACAGGGGAAGTCTCGGCATCTGCCAGCGAAACACGCCTGAAGCAAATGCAGCGCCAAAAGTCGCGACGTAACCTTAAGAACGGCATGGCCGCCCAGCGACCCGATCTGGGCACCATTGCGGGTAGCGGAACCTCCAGGCGTGTACGACCAGATCTTGGCAAGGTCTCGGACAGCAGCAGCAGCGGAGCAGGCACAAGTGACGCCAAGAGCAGCGACAATGAGTCAAAGACGGCTCCACAGAGCATCACCCAGGCATTTGTGGGTTCGGTTAGTTCCTTGTTGTTTGGCCGCAAGGGAGGCTGGCTGTAAACACAACAAAACACACACACAGATACACACACACACACACCCACACAGATACATTTAGACATACTACATATACGTATGCAAGAAAGCTCTTTAAAGCTAAACGCGCCTAAGCATGATTTCATGAGGCAAGCGAGATAATTAGAATTCGCAGCAAAGCCACACGCAAAAAGGGTTTTAAGTTAGTCGCCGCCGCTGCCGCCATTTTGTTGTTGACTGTCGATGTTATGCAACACTGGCCACGTGGCCCGCTGTCTTAGTGTTTGTAGCTGTGATTTGTAAATACTTGTAGTAAAATGTTTAAATTTAGTAGTTTATTATTAATTAAATATTCACTTGTTTTGCTTGTGCAACGGCGGACAATTTGAACAGCAACAGAAGCAACAGAAACCCAGCATATCCTACTACGGTCGTCAGCAAGATTAACTATATATATTATTTTTTGCCAATTTTGTATTTATTTTCATGTATGTGTTTACTTACGTAGAATATTAACATTTTATTTTCTCGATAATTCTCTGTATAAACTGAAGAGCGTGCGAAAAGCAAATGTACATAAGAATATTTAATTGAAAGTGGATTCGCAAAAAGGTATATATATTTTTTTACACATGTATATATATAGTTTACGTTTTTGCTTTCCACTTTGCCGACTCTTACGTATAATCACAAAATTCAACACTGTCTTTTTACTGCTTACATTTTCGGTGCTTTTTGTGCAGCCATACAAAAAAGAAAAACAAAAGAAAAGAAAAGAAAGTATGTCCCAACATAAACAATTTGTTTCTAGTCTTTACTTACGACTCTGTTCTCTCGTTTGGCTATGCTCTAACATTTTTCGATGCATAGCTTCTAAATGCAGTGCACTAAACAGGGTGTAATAAACATTTACTTTAATGTACTAGTTTTACTTTTGAACAACTAAATTTGGAGTTCGATTAACAGCGCTGTTAGCTAACATTCGGAACACATGTTACTAGATCACCTTTGGCTAACGGCGCGTGCGCTCTGTTAATGGGTTTTCTATCACAACAAGATTGAGAAAAAATTTGGAATACTTTTGTATTATTTAGTTACTTTAATTTTGGAGACATGCATATATCACGAATGAAGTTGTAATCAAGAGCAACATATATTGACGAAATTGTACACGCTTTGAAAATTTAGGTTTATAGTTATAAGAAATTATATACACAAAAAAAAAAAAGCAAAAACAAAAACAGCATCAGAGCAAAAAACAAATGTAAAAGATTTTAGTTTTAATTATTATCAAAATATTTATTTACTTATGCAAAAATAAAGAGAACATCGTTAAATAATAATTGACTTCTTTGAGTCCCTTCCACTTTATATAGCTTGGTGAATTCTGTCAAAAGGCTTTTACTGTCAACTTATCATAATTACCAGGGAGCTGGGAACACTAGATACTCTTAAGAGAGTCTGAATCTTCGATACCAGGAATGTCTTATCGATTCTCCACGCCTCCCCCTTGGATGTACTCGTAATATTTTGGATGTCTTCATTAAATTTAGCAAGCGACGACCAAAATGCATAATACAGATATTTATTTCTTATAAACCAAGTTCCGAGCTTCTCAATTCAATTCCTAATAAATTTCAAGGAATTTCAGCGCCAGCTTTGGAGATGAGCTCAAAGTGAAAAAAATAAATTTCTAGCATTTCAGTATACAAAAAAAAATCAATTAATATTCTATGCGAAATGGTAAATTTTTTATATATCGTTTTTATTCCATTGTAATGACTAACATTTTAAAAAATTACAATTCAATATTGGATAAATTAATTGTAAGCATATAATTTTATAATTTCTGCTTTATCCTGACTATAATTTGTTAAATTTGTTATAAGGTTGTTTCATTTCATCTTTCATGTTCATTTTCTCAATTTTCTCTTTAAAGTGTTTTTTTTTTATTTATTTATTTTTTTTATATATATTTTGCATTTTGCCGTGTTTTTGTGTATTTGTATTGCAACTGCTGCATATGTATATCGTTTAAATGTATGTAGTCATTAATGTAAAAGTTTTAATAATGTATATTGTATTTGATTTAATAATATAAATAGTTATCCAGCGGAGCTTGGTATGTTACAGAGAAAAGGAGAAGCGTATATAGGACCATTACCATTCCATATTAAGCACATCAAAAAAAAAACATGAGTTCGCAATATAAAATCCGAGTACGTAAATAGTTTACAGCAATTAAAGATAATATATTGATCGACTTAATTTATTTACTAGGCTATGTATTCTTTAGACGTTCACGTTCGATGCTAACTCTCAGCCAGATTTTAGAATATATTCATTTGTTTTCTCACTATATGTTGAGTCGGTTGGGCGCAATTAAACTAACCATGCGATTAAGTACATCATTTGCAGACCGGTTAGTTATAAGCATGACTCCATATCCATACTGTTTATATATATATATATATATATATATATATATATCTGTCTATGCCGAGTCGTGTTGCTGCTAAACTTTAGTATCTTATTAAATTTATTGTTGTACATGCTCGTTTGGCTATATATTGCAATAAAATATTTATTATTATTATTGCCTATGGTGCCTGACCTTTGATAGTTTGTTCAATTTATTTGGATTTGCTTTTCTTTTTTCTTTTTTTTTTTTTTTTGGATAGGTACATAATCTACTATTACAGATATTAATAATGTTACTTTTTCACTATGATGCCCTGCTACAGCCATTTCATGGGTTTTATGTGGGCGTGAAATAAAATTAGAATTGCGTGTGTGTTTTTGCTTGTGGGGAGTTTGTGAAATTAAACAAATTAAATTACATTAATTAATACATACAATAAATACAATTTGATGCCAATACAAGAATTCGTTTATAATTACTGGGCTGCGATTTGCAATTTGTTGCGTTCAATTCTAATTTATAGACTGTTTGAGGAATTTTGCAACTAAACAGTTTTACAGTTGGGTTTTTTTGTTAGCTTGGGTTGCCTTTTTGCTTTTTAATATTTTTTATTATTATTATTACTTTTTTTTTTTTTTTTGTTGAAAAAATGAACACTTTTTATCTGGTGGGAATATACATATGGTTTTGGAAATCTATTGCACAGAACATGAATTTTTGTGGCCATTTTTGTGCTTTAGCCGCGCCTTCGGCTTGTATCTTTCCAAAAATGACAGTTGCTTGGCATTGATGGCGCCGCGTCGCTTACTGCAAAACAACAATTGATTAAAAAATAAATATATCTATATATATATATATATATATATATATATATTGTTAACTCACTCTCTAATCATTTCAACAGCCGCTTCATATTTCAAGCCCAATTCGATGAGTGCAAGTGCTACCAAAACGGGGGCACGTCCCAGACCAGCCACACAGTGCACGGCAACGCAAGCCTCGGGATTCTGCTGGTATCTGCGATAAGAAGAAATATGATAGATATTAAGACCAGATATTAGATGAACAACATTCAACTTGTTTGGATGTACAAATTTGTTACATTTATTGTGCCAACAGAAAATGCTTGCCTTAATTGTTACAAAAAGCAACAACGAGAGGCTACGCTTACCGACAAGTTTCATTATCAACGAATGCAGTATTATTAAAAATTGCTGCTGCTTCGCTTGTATCTGTTTCATTTGCAGTTAGGGGCATTGTATCTGTATCTGTAGCTGTGACTGTAGCTGTAGCTGTTGCTGTAGCTGTTGCTGCTGCCGAGAGACTGGCTCGGGTTGTGGCTGCTGTCATTGGAGCTGTTTTTGGTATGTGTCTGAGCGAGAAACGCTTATGTCTGTAGTAGGATAGTGTGGCGCTTGAGGACTTTCTAAAACTAGCCAGTGGATAATAGCACACAAACCAAGAAACGAAACGGAGTACATACATTTACACACATATATATGCATAAATATATATATATATATATATGGAAGGTAAGTTAAATTGCATACCGAAATTAAATTGAATTAAATCGATTATCGAGTGTGAGAGGGCAACAAAATTACATGGCAAGCTAATTGTTTAAATGTATTACAAATAATATATATACACATGTTTGTATACAAATGAATATAAAGGATAAAAATATGTCTGAGCCTAAGCGACGACTACGAGATGGTTGGGCATGGTTCAAATATCATATATATATATATATATATACAATATATACAATTTGTTTTTTGAGAATTGTTTTGTATGAGATTTAAGGCGCAGCTCTTGATATGTTGTTAGCAGCTCAGTTCAATGATTTTAGCAATCGCTTTTCTTATGTTCAGCTCGTTTTTCAGTGTACAAAGCAACAAATAATACTGAATAAATTGATACAAATCAACTTTGGTAACGTTTCTTATGTATAATAATTGATTTTGCAAATTAGTCCTAATTACATATTGACGAGCTCACAGTATCTAACCAAACCATTTATATGATTCCCAATTCAATTTTTTTTAAAACTATTTTTTCTTGCAAATCTAATTGAAGTATTCAAAAGAAGTGTTTTAATCACGTTGATAGCCTTTCGAGTACTTATTTTCTTTTGGTACTGAATAAAACTATTTATGAAATCTGTTACAAGAACATCTACATTACGACCGATCGTTCCTGTGTCAGCTATATAATATACTTATCCCAACCGGCAGGTTTGGACTCATGTACTTTTGGCAAGAGAACAACGGACCTAAAGTTTCAAGAGTAGAAGCTTTACCACTGAGAGACAAGTTCGCAAACAAAACAGACAGACGGACATGGCCATATATCTGATGCTGATTCAGAATATATATTTATATACTTTATGGGGTCGGAGTTGCCTCTATTCTATTCATGTCATGACAAATGCAAATGCCATCTAAGAAAATTACAAATTTGTAGATCATATAAAGTGCTTGGTTCGATACCTCTCGCCTTTCATATTGCCAGCATATTGAAAACTGCAAACATTATGCGAAATAAACATGTGTGTATAATTAAAATATGATTTATGCTTATTTAACAAATGGAAATTCGAGATTGAGTTTACATATGGATATGGTGGGCATTACTTACTTGTCCTTCAAAACCTCAAACCATTCGTCAACGACCTGCTGCGGCGGAAAGGTGCCGTCGTCAAAGGCCAGATCCTTGACAGTAATGCCTTGGGCTTCCAGCTCATCGGTATTGTAGCTGGGCTCGCACACACGCACAACAGTGTTAACATTGTTCTTTTTAAGCTCCTGCAGGGCAAACAGATTCGTTAGTTGATTTCGACAATGATTTGGTTATTTGTAACTCACCATTATATAATGATTAATTGTTATGTCTGATGGTCGATCGGTGATTAGGAACTTCATGCCCTTATACTCAATAAGAGCAGGTGCTGGGCGCAGATCTTTTTGACGCATTGTGATGCTTAACTTAATTAGCTTTACGGATCAGTTAAACTTATAGCTTGTATAATTACAGAATTTAATTGAATTTTTCTTAAATAATATATTACGCGCTCCTAATTAATTTTCTTTTTTTATTTTTGTTGTTGGGACTTTGTTACAATATGAATAATTATTATGTTTGATTCGACTTTCGGGAAGTTGCTCGATTTTATTTTGTTTTTGAAAATTCAGCGAACTGGTTTAGATGTAGATGTTTTAGAGGCTTGTTTAAAAACGTGTTGTAAAAAAAATATATATAAATATAATAAGATTTTTGCAGGCTTTCAAATACTACACTAAGCACACAGAACAAATGAATTGTTTAAGTATAAATAAATAGCTCAATAGTTAAGTACAATTTTGGATATCTTCAACTTTTGTGTGTCTCAACCCAAAAGACGTCTATTTTCAAAATTCCCTGTTAATATCGCAGCTAACGCGCGAATCTATCCAAAAACTTATTTATTTCGAGTGCAGCTGCTGCTTCTCGCCAATTACTTAATTGTTGTTTCCAAACTTTTCGTTGTGGCAACCAAATTTTAAATGTGTCTCCTCGTGATATGAACTCCGTTCAGCCAGAAGTTGTATACTTTAGCTCGAGAGACTCTCTCTCTTTATCCACACTCTGTCTGTCCACGTTTCGAATCTGATTTGGCGTCCCGTCGACTTCCGGGCAGGTGACAGCGTTGTCTCAGGCTATCACGGCCTTTGTTTTTGCGTTGTGCTAACCTGCATGAAAATAATCATAAGTTAATAATCAAAATAAAAACAAATTCTAGTCAATAGTGATTGATTAGAAGCTATCGCCACACCAAGCCACAGTCATTAGTTTATAGACAGTTCTTGATTTAACTTGAATTATATCAATTGTCAATGTAAGAAACTTGAAAAGAGTTTCATTTGTTTTTATATTTGTATTCTATTCAATTGGTAAAGAACTTGGATCAATTATATTCAAGTAAAAGTTTCAGATAGTTTTCAGATAAAGAATGAAAAGTGTGTGAAACATTTGGTTTTCACGAAGTTGTCTTCTTTTGCAACAATTCGAAAACTAGTTCGATCAAGTTATAAATTGAAAGCAATTGGTTCTTCAATTGTGAGTTAGCAGCTGGTCAATTAGCTTGATTAATACCAAAATGTGCTGTTCGCCTTAATTTATGTTTTTTTATTTCATCAAGTTTATTTAAATTGCTGAAAATTGCCACGGACAAAATTGAGCTAATTCAGCCAAAGTAAACGCAACTAAGGACTTTCGCAATAACATTAAATAGTTCTTAATTCATTGGCGCGGCAAAAGGTTAGCGCAGTTCACGCGAATGACCTTTGACACGTTCAATTATGCTCTTTTTTATTTCGGGGCTTTCGACTTACTTTTTATTTGTGCTGTGCTTGGCAGTATTCTGCACTGTCTAGATGAAACTCCATAGATGTGGGAACAGGTCTAACCAACTGGAAGCAGAATTTGAGCAAATATAATAATAATTAGTACAGTTAACGTCTTTACGTCCTTTTTATGGAACAGATATATAAGATATAATGTAAATACGAATAATTGCCAAGTATACAAATATTTTCAAAATGCTTTGTCTCCGAATGTTTCTTTTTAAGAAACACATACGGAATATCACGCCGTCAAATATAGATACAACAAAATAATATTCTATTATATATACACTACACATATATATATATGTCAGGCATATCTGTTCTACATAGATATATGTATATGGTTACATACATACATATATGTATCTAATGCATAGATAATATCTTTGGCAAATATTTGGCTTTTATTCAGGTTTTAAATAAAAGCACACAAACAATTCTTGTGAAACTTGGCATAATATTGATAATAATGGAAAAATGCTATATACATATATACATGTATATATATATATATCTGCATATATGTATGTTGTACGTCTGGAAGCGTGGAACTAACTAATTAACAAGCCGTTGGAAATGATATAGCTTTTTATTTGTACTTGCAGCATTATATATATATATATATATATATATTTTGATGTGAACTGTTTAGTCATTCTGGGCACATGATTTTGTACTTTCGCACATACATAAGGAAACTTTCACTTGTTTCTACCTTTGGCGCAATGGGAGCACAGAATCACGCGCAACGAGAAAGAGAACTGTATATCAGCTGTTTACTTGACTTGATTTCTTCTGGTTATTTTTTTTTTTCTTACTTGACTTATGCAATGTATTTTGTTTTGCGTCTTTGCAAAAATGACGAACACACACGTATACACACAGGGAAAAACAAATATACAAAAGAAAAACAATATACTATGTGTGTGTGTGTGTGTGTGTGTGTATATATTTACATATAGATTTGTATGGACAATGACGGAGATTTGCACTAGTTCGAGTTTGGCTGAATATAGCACCAAATCGTAATCGAATCTTAATCGCCTGTAATGCGGCGCGATAAAATCTCGATTAGATATCGACAGGTGTCAATTCTAAGACGCTGATCGATTACAACACTGAGCAGACACCAAATGCTGCGCGATGAGCTCTGTTTCATCTTTTGCTATCGACTGAATACTGCCAGCCAAAACGAATCCCACTGCCGCTTACTGTGAGAGCCGTTTGCGGCCGACGAGAGAGCGAGAGTGAGAGCGCGAGAGTGAGAGAGTGCAGACATGACGCACAACTCGACTGAACGAACACGAACGAGTATTAGCTTGATTTGTTTTGTTTGCGCTCATTCTCGAGAGTCGAGTAAGTGTTTGCCAGCTGTCGAGTATTGTGCGCTCACCCTCTCGCTTTGACGCACAGTTTTACTCTCGCTTTGCTATGGAATGAATATCTGCATACATATGTGTGTATGTATGTACTGGATGTATGTAACATACGTTGTACATATATGCACGTACGTACGTACATTGCTCCCGTCTCGGAGCCACATTTTCAAATTCTGGCGCAATTTAAAGGCTTTCAAAGCATCTGTCAAACTAAGCGAAATGCATATTATAAAAATATATTAGTTTGTGTCGTCAAATATTGTTTAAGCTGCGTAAAATAAATGCACATACGATTTTTGGCAAAGTTGCAAACATTTGACATTCAACAGAAAGTCGGCATCGTGTCTCGTTATTTGTTGTGAAACCATGACTCAACACGTCGTGTTCGTGTTAAAAGCACGTAAGCACGACTTAACAGAAGTTTAAGAAATACTTGTTGAAATATTTATATCGTCTCTATATACACATGTAAGGCTAATTGTCTTGACTGTAAGAGCTGGGAAGCTACAATGTTAACTGTAGTCTCCTTATATGATGAAGACGGACGCTAAGACAGGGTTTTGGGAAATTCCGCTCACAAGTGTGGAAAAATAGCGAAACCCATTTGTATGAACCTATTTTTTTTTTTTACCAGTCGATGGAACTCTGACCCATTGTTAAGGAACTTTGCTCTAATTCATTTGAGAGGTGTTTCACACTTTTTGGAAAACCATCGCTTCTGGTGCAAATGAGGGTCAACGACTTGGAGAATAAAGATTCGAGTTTAAATTTATTTTCAAGAAAATTTTTGATAATTCATTTGAGAAGTGTTTTACACTTTTTGCAGAACCCCAGCTTACTCTGAAAAAATACGCATCAGAGACTTTTGGACAAATTGGCTAAAATTTTATTTTCTAGTTTCAGCGTTTTTGGAAATTCCACCTGAAACAGTGGTAAATTGGCTTAAAGCGGCTGCATGACCCTTTTTTTGTAAAACATCCGATTGGTTTTCAAATTATTGTCAAAAATCGTTTTGGAATGGGCAAAGTTTCGAGCATGGCAGACTTTTGTTTCTTTTACGTTGGACTTGGGATATATTTTAAAATAGGCATTTAGTTCCTGAGGTAGATTTAAATTCTCCATGAGTGGAAACTATAGAACTTATGTCTAAAAAAAAAACAAAACATGCCACGGGCAAGGCCGGGGAATTCCCACTAGGCGCATACATATATTTCTATATGTGCTATGAGATCGAAGATGCATCTTTAAAATCGAAAACATTTGCAAAGGTGAACCCAAAACATATATCAAGATTAGGAGTATAGAGAACGGCCTACTAAAACGTATTTATTTTCGATATATTCATGTTCATTTTGTGTTGCGTTATTCCAATGCACATATTTTTAAAATTTTATAAAAAGATTAGTTTTTTAAGTAATTTGTTCGGTTTGATCGAAACAACTACAAAGTAATAAAACATGAAGAAAGTTTTTCATAAAATAAATCAATAATTAAAGCTCTATAAACAAACAAAAAAATTGCTATTTATTTGTCGTTCCGTTTGAACCGGTATCGAAGTATCTCATAACAACTTTCGAGACAAGGTCAATGTTATTAAAGAAAAATAATAAACCAACTTGCGGCGTTTATATTATATACAATTATCTGATGCGTGCGACAATAAACAGTCAAGGTCAAACCCTGAAACTGTTGCAAATGTATCTATCCAATTGAAACCAGTTTAAACATATAATACTGCAGTAAATGAGCACTTGATAGGTCTTAGGCAACAGGTATTACACCCATTTGCAGTGTAAATTGTAATTTATTACATTTCCTAGCTACCCAACGAGCTGTTCATTCGTTCTTTCCCCTAAAACAATGCCCAACCCACGCTTCAGTGCACACAAGTCTACTGTTGTCTCAATGGGAGACCTTATATGTATGTACATATGTAGAATATCACATCGTATGCACAATATGATGTATATACACATATGATATATGGTTATATGCTTGAATTCGGAGAGCATTTTGATCGACAACCGTGTAAATCAATAGAAATCACGGGGAACGGAATAAATTGCATTTAAATAACAAATAACAGTTCTTTTGTCTAACAATTCTCAAAGGAAATTTTGTTTTATCTTCCCATTTTCGTCAAATCTACTGTTTTAGTATTCTGTTAGCTAAACTTGTTTTCAATTACGGGAACTAACACATTGATACATCGTTTCTTAAAGGCTGGGACTAAAAAATACCAAAATGTATTAAATATTTTTTAGAACCGCACTTGAAAATGTCAGTTCAATCTGGTTGGCAACGTGACGACATTATGGAAAAAGTGTCTCCAAATTTAGTATTCTGTTAACTTAATTTGGTTTCAATTACGGGAACTAACACATTGATGCATCGTTTCTGAAGGGCTGGGTCTAAAAAATGCCAACATGTATTAAATACTTTTTAGAGCGGCACTTGAAAATGTCAGTTCAATCTGGTTGGCAACGCGATGGCATAACGGAAAAAGTGTCACCATGTTTAGTATTCTGTTAACTAAAATTGTTTTCAATTACGGGAACTAACACATTGGTACATCGTTTCTTAAAGGCTGGGTCTAAAAATACCAAAATGGATTAAATACTTTTTAGAACCGCACTTGAAAATGTCAGTTCAATTTGGTTGGCAACGTGACGACATAACGGAAAGAGTGTCTCCCATATTTGGGTACGCTATATTTCAGATATGAGGTACTCTATTCGCTAACTAATCTTATCTGTATTTATAAATATGCACACACATTGATATGAGAATTCCAATAAAATTTTGTTAAGAGGCAAGGAAGGAAATTTAAACGAAAATCAATGAACGAACTTGAATTAAATTTGAGACAACCGCAAGACGGCAAAAAAAAAACTTTAATAATTGAAGTGGACGAGATAAAGAGAAAACGGGAATGCAAAGATATGAAAGAGCGAGAGCGAGAGAGACGAAAGGTTGCAAGCTTTTGCTGGCAGTCTCTGAAATTGAGGATAAAGTGAGCAGAGCTGAGAGTTGACTGCACTCCGGCCAGACAAGTCAATGCCATTGTGAAGCATGTCGCTGATAGACAAACATACAACAACAACAATAACAACAACAACAACAACAACAACGACACAAAGGAAACAGCAGGAACCCAAGAAATGTCTACATAAAAGAAAACAAAAAGGGGGATGTACATGTATGTATGTACATACACATACAAAGACAACGAATTGAATGTGCCTGAATGTTAAATGTGGCAAATGATAGTCTGGCTTAAGGTAAACTCTAGCCTGAAAGGTTTTCAGCAACAAAACACAGTTAAATACTCTGACAAAATGTTGAAATTCGCAGACGGAATCTGTCTACTACTTGTTTATGATATTTCAAAAAAAAAAGAAGTATTGTAAACAAATTAATTAAGCAATTTGATACGCATGTCATTTAATATGTGGAAACGTGCCTTCTTTAATATGGGATAAGACTTAGGCAAGCCCAGACATCGAATCATGTGTTAATTGATTTAAGTCTGCGCACCGAAAGTCCAAAGGCCAAACAACAACAGTAATGAAACAAAAGGACATTCTCTTTAATCCGAATAGCTTATACTACCCAGAAAGTTGTTTTCCTTAAATCTTCTACCAGCTGAGCGAGCGGAAGCCCCAGGGATTTCCTTTTATGTATGTGAAACATGCATCAACTTATTTCTCACGTGGAGCATTAGAAAAGAATTTGTGCTCAAATTAGGAGTAGGCAGGAAATCTGTATACATATATATATTCATATAATATAACTAATAAAAGCTGCTTTTGGTCAATATAATAAAAAATAAATTACTTTTCGACCGATCCTATGGCGGTTTAATTATATCCTGGGCTAATGTTGACAGGATTTGGCTTATTATATATATATATGAATTATTAAAATGTTTTTCATACTTTTATTCTACCGATTTTTCTCACATTTTCATAACGTACGTGTCTGTAACTAGTCGATTTCTAGGTATATATACATAGGTACGTAAACCTTACACTTAGTAAATAAACAAATTAGTTTTATTTAAAGATATTTTACATTCTTTATAGCTCTTTTTATTAGCTTTTTTTCTTGGATTAATTTGCGTGCGAAGCGTACAAGCAATTCTGTATATATAATCAAAGAACAAAAATATATTGAGCACACCTAACTAAAACTAGGACACTAAAAGTTAACGAGTCTGGTCCGAATTATTGATTTTGCGACTGTCTGAGCAGAAAATTAGTTGCTATAGGTGGGGCATACCCAGGGTAAACACAAATGTCTAGTCTGCCTTTTAACCTAATGGGAGGCATCGTTAGTCAGGATAAGGTTAGCTTATGATTAAGACAAACAAATTTGTAAGTACATCAAGTTGAGTGGGGATATCTAGTTCAATTTGCTGAATAAGTTCACTCGTTCATTTTCTGGCCGTGAACTAAATCGGTCATTTAGTTCACTCGTTCAGCTATTCAGTCGGTCATGAACCACGACTTCTGCTCAGCTATTCAGTCGTTCACTATTCGCTTAGTTATGCAGTCAAATCAAAAGTGAAATTAAAATCCCGCTATCTTTTATGTTTATTATGAACTGAACATCTCAAAAGAATTTATCGTTCAGGAACGGCTGAGCTGCTGAGTTGCATAGAACGCTCATGAACGAGTATCAAGAATGTATCGTTCATGACCGATTGAACGAGTACAGAATACATCATTCATGACGTTCATTTAGTTCACTAATCACTGAATAAGTTTAGTAGTTCATT